CCCCAAAACCCCAAAACCCCAAAACCCCACAATTGAAGATTTATATTAAGATATTTGTTCATAGATATAATTGTTTTATAAAAAGTTAAATAAAGATGGAAAACCTTTAAAATTAATCATCCAATTCTAAACAGAACAAAGAATCTGAACTCTAAATTGTCAATGAAGAAAGTCAATTGGCATTCAAAAACTAATTTGTGTGCTAGTTCCTTCAATCTAATACTGAAAGTAATCGTTTCGGAGATTATTCTAGGATTTTGAATGCTAATAATCAAATTTTTATTGCTCGGAGCTTCCCAAGAAATCAATGTCAACTAGTAGATAAAGATCTTAATTTACTTTAATAAATACAATTGGAAGCAAATATTTTACATTTTCAAAGTAACAAGGTTATAACTTATAACAATAAGCTTATTCGAATAGTTTCAATTGAAGATAATAAAAATATTGAGATTAATTAAAATGTTTACAATACCCAAGGAAGTACTTAAAAAATTTTAAAGATAGATGATGATATATTTATGATTGGAAATTATGATGGAAAAATTTTGTTATACAGTCTTTCTAATCCTTCATACTCACAAACTTTTTAAATTAAGTCTATTATTATATTGCTTGATATATGCTTAATTGATAAGAGGAAAAATGAATATACCTTTGCACTTAGTGATATAAGAAGCTGTATATAGATATTAAAATTGATTAAGAGAGGTGACTTAGATTATGAAATATTTTGCGAATCCATGATTTCGTTCCATAGAGCTAGTATTGACTAAATAATTTTAATCAAGCCGAAAAAACTAGCATTTACTTGTAGGATTAATCATGTAGTCTTTTTGAAGATATATGACCTAAAAAGATAAAAATTGAATCACTCAATTAAATTATCTTCTCCTTCATTTTTATTTAAGATAGATGGATATGATTTTAAGTGAAATCCATTCTGTTTTATTAAAGATTAAAATAAAGTATCAATACTGAACTTTAAAACTTATCAGATTGAACAAATAATTGACTCAACTTTTACGGCAGAAAAGGATAAAAGTTTGCTGTTTTTGAATATTAAATTGAATGATAAAAATAGTAATCAATACTTATTATATGATATTTAACTATTACCTGAATAAGATAAATGGAAATCAGAGATAAGGAAATTTAAATTATAGATTAATTGAAAAGTTGACTAACGTATGATTATTATATAAGATAAAAGAAATATTCCAATATAATTGCAATTCTATATAATATATGATATATTTTAATTTAAAGCTTACTCACTAAGATTATGAGTAGTGGACCAACGGGGTTTTGGGGTTTTGGGGTTTTGGGG